CGGACGGTCGTGAATACTATATCCCCCGCTTCGCGCTTTCGCGCGGCGGGGGATAATAAACATAAAAATATCTATTAGTCTCCCACTAGTAATATAGACCCTCACATAACAAAAATAAGTTATATAAAAATTCTGTGCGTACATCACTATCAGTGATTCAAGAAGCCAACTGCAGTTTGAACTATACAGCAGAATAATTTAATATAAATAAACAAACAAATAAATAATTGACATTATAAGTTGTAGCAGGATCACAAGGGGTACATGGTGATCCTGCTACTATAAATTTATCTTCATGACATGTTTTAAAATGACATTGCAAAAGAATGAAAACAAATTCAAAATTGACAGAACACAGCTGTTTGAATGAGCTGAGGTTAACTTATGCTATGTAACGTGACTTTCATTGACTCATAAAAAAGTGTGCAACTTTTTGCATCGAAGCGAGGTATAAGGGATTTATTCCGCCTCTCAGAAATCCACGTGCTTGCTTGTGGCGGGGTATAAGGGATTTATTCACTGCTGAAAAATTTATTTCCCTCCAAGGCCGGATACACAGTATCATGTGGTATCAAGATCAAGTATCAAGATCATGTGGACCAATCAGATCTCATCGTTCTGACATGAAGGTATGATAAAGCTATTTATTTTTATTTTGACCGCCCTTGAGTGAAAAAGCTGGAATAAATGCGTGAAACATATATTAAATAAGTGTGGCCTTACAATTCCTATAAATTTTCAATATATACATATATTTGTTATATCCTAATTCTTTATATTTTATTCCTTTTGCAAACTAATCATGTCAAATATTCCTTTTTCGGTTCATTGGGACTAAATTAAGGTTCTAGAAAGCAAAGCATGATGTAATGTATGGTTGTGAAATAGTTTGGGTGGGGCTGGATTGTCAAGGGCAAAAGTGTCGTTGGGGGAACATGTTCTATGCTTTATTGACCTACTGGCAACACATGCAAACACAGCATACGGTGCATGTACAGCTACATGAGAAAAAATGTACCACCTAACTACAAACTGTCACTTGTATGACGTCAGTCCCAATACATCCTGTCTATAGTAATCCCACATGACAACTGCTTACAGAATGAGGCTCAAATTTTTTATGTAAACCTGATTAAAAAGTTTACAATCACTGGAAGTGAGATGATGAAACTTATTTGTCTTGTCTCGTCTCACTGATCATGTCCATGTTAGCAGACAAATCCTACATGAGGAAATATTGCATAACTAGAACATGAAGACCTCATTTCAATCTTAACTCTAGTGAAAAAACCCAGCAAAATTGAAAAAGGTTTGCTATATTTATAATTATGTAGGCATGTTTGTGTCCAGCTAAGCACTGCATGATAGATGTGCTAATGACTGCCTTCATGTGTACCACATCCAACACAAACAGAAAGTGCATGGTGACCAACTCGAACCCTACAGAGAAAGTGAAGTATTCTATTGAGATGACAACCTTTTCTTTGTTAGCACATCATTTATTACTAGTGTTAGTTGTATGGGTACTAAGCATCTGGTTTCCAAGGTGACCATACACGTGGTGGATCACAACAGTATCAGTTTGCAGCTTAATCTATGGTCAAGATATCAGCTGTGTTCACCATGGCAATTATGTCTTTTGATCAACGATCAAGTTAGTCAAACAACTAAACGCTACATAATCACACCCCATTAATATTTCAGGTCAGGATTTGGGTTCTCAAACTGAGTGTTTCCTGTTGTTTCCTGGGTGTGAATGGAACGTGAGCACCGTGTTGCCTGTCCTACACATACATCCAAGGAAACAACATTGCCTTCTTGGAGGGAAACACAGCATATACCTCATGCAATCAATACCCACCAAGGAGGCTATTATTACCCTCATTAGAAAGAAGTGTGGGTTGCAGTGCAGGTATTTCCCATGGTATCAAGTTAAGATCTATATCATTTACATCCAGAAACAATGTGTAGTTCCGTCTATGGCTAGTGCCAAAATAGGCAGCCCAGTACAGGTAGGACTGCATCAAGAATCATGTACTAATGTCTATTGTTCCAGGGGCAACACATCAACACCTGTGTGTGTGTGTGCGTGCGTGCGGGGGTGCGTACTTATAGGTGCAGGTATCTTGTGAAATGTATGCAGGTATAGTATCAGGGCCCAGTGATAGTATCAAGCATCCAGTGAGTGTAATGTCCATGTGATGGTGGTTTCAAACTCCTGGAAATTTGGTGCTAACTATATAGCTGACCAAAACCCACATGGGAAGCACTTATACACATGGAAAATAACTGAGCATCGTTCAGGTGCATATTAATATCTACTACCATAATAATAGCACAGTGGATATTAATATTTACTACCATAACTATATCTCAGATGATATTAATATCTACTACCATAATAATATCTCAGTTGATTTTAATATCTTTTACCTTTACTATATCTCAGTGCCTAATAATATCTACTACCATAATTATATCACAGAGGATAATATCTACTCCCATAATTATATCAAATTATATGATGGACTATAGGTAGCAGATGGAGTGGGGAGTACTGGTGACTGGTGGGGAGTACTGGTGGCAGGTGGGGAGTACTGGTGGCAGGTGAAGTGGAGAGTACTGGTGGCTGGTGGGGAGTACTGGTGGCAGGTGGGGAGTACTGGTGGCTGGTGGGGAGTACTGGTGGCAGGTGGAGAGTACTGGTGGCAGGTGAAGTGGAGAGTACTGGTGGCAGGTGGGGTGGGGAGTACTGGTGGCTGGTGGGGAGTACTGGTGGCAGGTGGGGAGTACTGGTGGCAGGTGAAGTGGAGAGTACTGGTGGCAGGTGGGGTGGGGAGTACTGGTGGCAGGTGGGGTGGAGAGTACTGGTGGCAGGTGAAGTGGAGAGTACTGGTGGCAGGTGAAGTGGAGAGTACTGGTGGCAGGTGAAGTGGAGAGTACTGGTGGCAGGTGGGGTGGGGAGTACTGGTGGCAGGTGGGGTGGGGAGTACTGGTGGCAGGTGAAGTGGAGAGTACTGGTGGCAGGTGGGGAGTACTGGTGGCAGGTGGGGAGTACTGGCAGGTGGGGAGTACTGGTGGCAGGTGGGGAGTACTGGTGGCAGGTGAGGTGGGAAGTACTGGTGGCAGGTGGGGAGTACTGGTGACAGGTGAGGTGGGAAGTACTGGTGGCAGGTGGGGAGTACTGGTGGCAGGTGGGGAGTACTGGTGGCAGGTGAGGTGGGAAATACTGGTGGCAGGTGGGGAGTACTGGTGACAGGTGAGGTGGTAAGTACTGGTGGCAGGTGGGGAATACTGGTGGCAGGTGGGGAGTACTGGTGGCAGGTGAGGTGGGAAGTACTGGTGGCAGGTGAGGTTGGAAGTACTGGTGGCAGGTGGGGAGTACTGGTGACAGGTGGGGAGTACTGGTGGCAGGTGAGGTGGGAAGTACTGGTGACAGGTGAGGTGGGAAGTACTGGTGGCAGGTGGGGAGTACTGGTGGCAGGTGGGGAGTACTGGGGGCAGGTGGGGAGTACTGGTGGCAGGTGGGGAGTACTGGTGGCAGATGAAGTGGGGAGAACTGGTGGCAGGTGAGGTGGGGAGTACTGATGGCAGGTGGGGAGAACTGATGGCAGGTGGGGAGTACTGGTGACTGGTGGGGAGTACTGGCGGCTGGTGGGGAGTACTGGTGGCAGGTGGGGCGTACTGGTGGCAGGTGGGGAGTACGGGTGGCAGGTGAGGTGGGGAGTACTGATGGCAGGTGGGGAGTACTGGTGACAGGTGGGGAGTACTGGTGGCAGGTGGGGAGTACTGGTGACAGGTGGGGAGTACTGGTGGCAGGTAGGGAGTACTGATGGCAGGTGGGGAGTACTGATGGCAGGTGGGGAGTACTGGTGACAGGTGGGGAGTACTGGTGGCAGGTGGGGAGTACTGGTGACAGGTGGGGAGTACTGGTGGCAGGTAGGGAGTACTGATGGCAGGTGGGGAGTACTGATGGCCGGTGGGGAGTACTGGTGGCAGGTGGGGTGGGGAGTACTGGTGGCAGGTGAAGTGGGGAGTACTGGTGGCAGGTGGGGAGTACTGGTGGCAGGTGGGGAGTACTGGTGGCAAGTGAGGCAGGGAGTACTGGTGGCAGGTGAGGTGGGGAGTACTGATGGCAGGTGGGGAGTACTGATGGCAGGTGAGGTGGGGAGTACTGATGACAGGTGAGGTGGGGAGTACTGATGGCAGGTGAGGTGGGGAGTACTGGTGGCCGGTGGGGAGTACTGGTGGCAGGTGGGGTGGGGAGTACTGGTGGCAGGTGAAGTGGGGAGAACTGGTGGCAGTTGAAGTGGGGAGAACTGGTGGCAGCTGAGGTGGGGAGTACTGATGGCAGGTGAGGCGGGGGTACTGGTGGCAGGTGAGGTAGGGAGTACTGGTGGCAGGTGAGGTGGGGAGTACTGGTGGCAGGTGATGAGTACTGATGGCAGGTGAGGTGGGGAGTACTGATGGCAGGTGAGGTGGGGAGTACTGATGGCAGGTGAGGCGGGGGGTACTGGTGGCAGGTGAGGTAGGGAGTACTGGTGGCAGGTGAAGTGGGGAGTACTGATGGCAGGTGAGGTGGGGAGTACTGATGGCAGGTGGGGAGTACTGGTGGTAGGTGGGGTGGGGAGTACTGGTGGCAGGTGGGATGGAGCTATGAAGACAAATCAACAGATGATAATTCAATTTATGGGATTACCACAACAAGTCATAAAATTGAATGCAAGGCACCTGCATGTGCCATCATTATCATATGCAACAGTAAATATTGCTGAATTATGTTAACTACAGTAATATCAGTTTTCATTACTCATATTCATCTACTGGGAATTATTCCTAGTCTATGAGTGATGGTTTAATGAAATATCAATAATGAATTCAACTAATACAAGAATTTGTGATGCTCACTGATTTGCACATGGATACACAGCAATATGTGCAGCATAATAGCATATACTACGACAGTGGTCCCAGAGTTAGGTGGTTAGCGTGTGACTTACAGAGAGAATCGAGTGTGCCAGTGCTGGTTGTGCTGGACCTTCTGTCCTGAAGGGCCATCAGCTGCTGGGTGAGGCGCTTGTCCAGCTGGACGCTGTGACGTTTACGTCCAGCACGCGCACGGTATGCGTCCTCACCCTCTTCATCCACCATGTTCTGCATCTTCTCACCTTCATGAAACTTGTCAAAGTTCTCACTCGAGTTGGTCTTGAAGCTAAGGAACTTCTTTGCTAGAATCTCCGACATATTTGTGTGTATTTACAATGTAGATCTGTCTGGTTGGGATGCAATGTACAGCTTGTACAGGAGTCTGCCTCAGAGCTCCCAGTGACAGCCCAGTGACAGCCCAGACAGGTGAACACGGGCAGTGGGTAGGTCCGTAGTATGGGTGGAGAGGCGACTACGACACTGCCACTTGTCTTACCATGACACTCGTCCCCTTCCTCTCACACCTCACACAGTGTCAGACAATAACAAATCTCCAATCAATTGAGTTAATCCTTCAGCAGCAGCAGCAGAGTGAGGCACGCTACTGCATGGAGGAATCAGAGGGCACCTTGGCTAGCAATATACTCCCCGTCTTCTCCCACTCACTGAACACACACTGCCTTTCAGATGCCAGCTGACTTGGGTTGGCCACGACCTGTGTTATGGTTGTAAGCTTGCTTCAACTCCCTGACTGACTTCCTATAGCAATAGATAACAACCTGCACTCCACAAAGCAGGATCTCTCCCATCCGTCTATAGTGGATCTCACACAGCCATGGAACAGTCCATTCACACACAGGGGGAAAATAACCAAGCTCTCAAATTGGCAGAGACGGTTATGTTTGATCACAATAGAATTGTAAGATTAGTCTCGGCTTTTTTAACCTGTAAGGATTTGCCAGCCTTTCATCATATAATACACATGATTAAGACAAGCAAACAGTCAGCCTTGGATACATGTCTGACAGCCAATCAGCAAGGCTGGTAACTGCTCAGTACACCAAACTGTGAATTTATTAGTTTACGAGTCTACACCAATTTCATCAATCTTTGCATTCAATCAATAACTTGAGACCTACTCTCAAAGCCACTTCTATAATAAACTATCCCCTAACACAAACAACCAGGCAGAAAAATAAACTTCTCAAAAAGTAAAAAATATGGCAAAATCAATAATTCAGTGTGCAAACATATTCCATGTAATCATTATTATACCACACCTGATCAAAGCCTAAGCAGCATGTTGAAAAGGACAGTACCCACAATACCCTTGTTTGATAGGCACAGAATGTACACTGTCATAACCACCAGCTATAGCCTATTTCAATCTCCCACCAATGTAACAGAGATGTGTGGTGAGAAGGTTGACTTGCAGCAGACGTGTGTGAGATTACCTGCTTCCCTTGTTGCAGCCTCACCCTGGCTACACAATTCCTGTACCTTTATGTCACGGAGAGCCCAGACACACTCCAACTAATGCATCTTCCTGAGGTAAGGGAGTTAACTGACTGTAAAAGTCGATTTTCCACCCATGCCGAACAAGGCTAGGATTTTGGGGTTCGCTTGTAGCGCCACCAGCGGCTATTATGAGAAATATTCCTTCTATGTTTCACCTCTCATATCACTTGCATTTGCTTCAAACAAAATGAAAGCGCCCAGTCAAGACGATCTCATCGATAATTAAAATCATTATTGTGATAAAACAGGTCTTACTTCACGTCAATTCACATCAACACCATGATTTAAAACATGAAAACATTTCGAAAATATCTCTTGATCCTGAGTTGTCTGTACACATGCTTTGCAAATCCTGCAATTTGACCTAAATCTGCATGGCAGGTTACGAAGCGGATGCCGATTTCGTTATGTGATTTTGATTGGCCTATGCATAGACTTGTAAGTCAAGCCAAAATAGATTTCAATAATTCCAGCCTAGTTCGGCAAGGGTGGAAACTGGACTTTTATTAACTCCCTTGTCTCGGGAAGATGCAACTAATGCCGCTACCAGGGCTTGATCTCTACACAAACCAGTAACTGCCACATCCTACTGGTTCCCAAGCCAAAGAACTTCAAATACAACTTATGTCAATGACCAATCAATTATGACAAAGAGAAGGAGCCATTAAGATCTGTATGCACCTGAATATTTGGATCTTTGAAACAAGATTAGATTAATTCCAAATTATTCACTATACTGGTACATCAAGTTACAATATATACATACAGATTTTCATATGCATAGTGCACATTTGAGTATATTGCAGACTACACCCCCTATTCTTGGGTATAAGTTTCAGGAAAACTGCTATTTCGTGTATTGTGCACAGTGAAAAATTACATCGTATCATGTCTGGGGAACGAACAGATGATAACAAAATTGGTCAATCAAAATGTGAGTGAGTGAGTTGGGTTTAACGCTGCTTTTAACATTATTCCAGTTATATCACAGTGTGTCAGCTTAGTGTGGGAGGAAAGCACCAAGTGATGCTGGTCTTAGACGTTTACCACTCCGGTGAAACCCACTAGCACGGGTATGGTGCTGACAAACCTATAAACATAATCGGGGTGAACCGGGCTTCGAACCCACAATCATAGGTTGCTGGTGGGGCCCAAGGGACGCAACTCTGCACAGCGAATCGCAGCGCCTTAGACGACTGGGCCACCCATGCCCCCAATGAAAATGTTAAATTTGTGATAAAATATTACTTGATATGATGATTACCATTTCAATTGTATTTCCTGTTCTGCTAGACATTGTTTTATATGCAGGGATTACCATGTGAACTTCTCTCATAAACTAAGCAGGAAATATACACATTTCCTCCCCGATCTTAGCATTGATTCAGCTTAAATATGCCAAATAATATAACTTAAAAGAATTATGATGGAGTGATCAGAAGGAAACGTATCTGAAACTACTTTTTTACCAGGAATAATATATTATAACCTAATGTTATCTTATTTTCATCTTTTACTATATATAGTTACAATATCAATAACCAGAAGTGTAGCACTTTGGCACATTTGTCGTATATCTTTTACATATGGAACAGTTTGACAAGTCACCATTTGAGGCTTTTCGCGGTTTTGATAAATTGCTCTAGAAAACAATGATACGTAACATAATAGTCAAACAACAATAATATGATTTTCAATGATTCAAAGTATGGCATTAATGATATATGTATCCATTCTCTGACAACTAAGGTTCGTTTCAAGCTGTCAATAGCTGTCATCTGACTGTCGTTACTGTAAACAACGGGGAGATGATGTGATCTACTGATCAGTTCACAATTTTGCCAACTTATATGTAAACAATATTGAATGAAACTTTGAATAAAACTACTAAAGTAGATTACAACCTTAAGTCCAGATATACAACGAATATGTTTTATTATCATATATTGTAATAACAGGATTAACTTGTGTAATTCAGTAAGGATTTGTCGACATGCTTCTTCTGGTGTTACATGCTCACTGTAGCATCTTTCAGTTGGGGGGTCAAAGATACAACATCTCTACATATTTGTGGTAGATACACGTCAAAGTTGCTGCATTTATGTGGTAGATACAGGTCAAAGTTGCTGCATTTATGTGGTGGATACAGGTCAAAGTTGCTGCATTTATGTGGTAGAAACAGGTCAAAGTTGCTGCATTTATGTGGTGGATACAGGTCAAAGTTGCTGCATTTATGTGGTAGATACAAGTCAAGATGCAACATTTATGTGGTAGATACAGGTCAAAGATGTCACATTTATGTGGTAGATGCAGGTCAAAGATGTCACATTTATGTGGTAGATACATGTCAAAGATGTCACATTTATATGGTAGATACAAGTCAAAGATGCCACATTTATAAGGTAGATAAAAGGTCAAAGATGTCACATTTGTGTGGTAGATACAGGTCAAGGATGCAACATCTCTACATATTTGTGGTAGATACAGGTCAAAGCTGCTGCATTTATGGGGTAGATACAGGTCAAAGTTGCAATATCTCTACAAAAATCTAATTCTGAAATGTACCTAGTCAATGATGACTGCAATCATTGGATTTATAGTGGTCCTTTCGAGCTGCAGGCCAGCATAAATTCTGTAGGCTTATCAAGGAGCACTGTCCAAGCTCAAGACATGTTTTTATAATACATATCTCCCTACTTTACAGCACAATCTAGTCTTTGCAGCAAAACATTCTATCAATATTTGAAATAGTTTCTCCAGGCTCAGGAAAACATATGTACATGACCTATTCAAACTATTTCACAATACAGAGCCCAAGTACTGCAGCTCACCTTTCATTAAGTGGTCAATGTTTTAAGAATGACACACCATGCAGTTTGACTGCAGTCTGTTAATCCAGACAATACCATCAGAGTGACCATGATCAATTCCTTATTGTATAAGCACTACCAACAAGTACCATATTGGCCATGACTGAACTGACTCATTATAGTAGGCTGTCTATCTGTACATGACACAGTGGTCGTGAGAGAGATATTACTGTTATAGTAGGCTGACTATCTGTACATGACACAGTGGTCGTGAGAGAGATATTACTGTACTGTTATAGTAGGCTGACTATCTGTACATGACACAGTGGTCGTGAGAGAGATATTACTGTTATAGTAGGCTGTCTATCTGTACATGACACAGTGGTCGTGAGAGAGATATTACTGTTATAGTAGGCTGTCTATCTGTACATGACACAGTGGTCGTCAGAGAGATATTGCTGTACTGTTATAGTAGGCTGATTATCTGTACATGACACAGTGGTCATGAGAGGGATATTGCTGTACTGTTATAGTAGGCTGACTATCTGTACATGAGACAGTGGTCATGAGAGAGATATTGCTGTACTGTTATAGTAGGCTGACTATCTGTACATGACACAGTGGTCGTGAGAGAGATATTGCTGTACTGTTATAGTAGGCTGACTATCTGTACATGACACAGTGGTCGTGAGAGAGATATTGCTGTACTGTTATAGTAGGCTGACTATCTGTACATGACATATATGTGTAATGAGGTACCTAGTGTGTCATACACATGTAGTGAGGTACCTAGTGTGTCATACACATGCAGTGAAGTACTAAGTGTGTCGTACACATTAGTGAAGTACTTAGTGTGTCATACACATGTAGTGAAGAACTTGATGTGTCATACACATGTAGTGAGGTAGTTAGTGTGTCATACACATGTAGTGAGGTAGTTAGTGTGTCATACACATTTAGTAAGGTACTTAGTGTGTCATACACATGTAGTGAAGAACTTAGTGTGTCATACACATTTAGTGAAGAACTTAGTGCGTCATACACATGTAGTGAGGTACTTAGTGTGTCATACACATGTAGTGAGGTACTTAGTGTGTCATACACATGTAGTGAAGTACTAAGTGTGTCGTACACATTAGTGAAGTACTTAGTGTGTCATACACATGTAGTGAAGAACTTAATGTGTCATACACATGTAGTGAAGTACTAAGTGTGTCATACACATGTAGTGAGGTACTTAGTGTGTCCTACACATGTAGTGAGGTACTTAGTGTGTCATACACATGTAGTGAAGTACTTAGTGTGTCATACACATGTAGTGAGGTACTTAATGTGTCATACACATGTAGTGAGTACTTAGTGTGTCATACACATGTAGTGAAGAACTTAGTGTGTCATACACATGTAGTAAGTACTTAATGTGTCATACACATGTAAGGAGGTACTTAATGTGTCATACACATGTAGTGAAGTACTTAGTGT